CTGGACATGTTTTTTTTCTTAAAAAAACCCCTTTTTCGAAAAAAAAATCGCTGTTCCTTTAAAAAATGAGGTTTACGCGTTTTTTCGAAAAAGTGTTTTTTTCCCAAAAAAACCTGCATCCAGACTACTTTCACTTTTGAAAGATCTGCTTTTGAAAGTGAGATCAGAAGGATATGCAGATTCCTATGGAATTTGCATATCCTCTTTCAAAAATAGCACATGGTTTAGACATACCCTAAAACTTGTTACATGCATATTCTTACCCTAAAATTTGTTCTGCTTATCTCTTTCATAAGCAAGGCAGCCTCTTAGATGGGCCCAGTCCTTTCCCGTTTCCAGCAGGTATTCTGGCTGGCAAATGGAAAGTCTGGCATCTGGCCGCAAATAACCCTATTATTTGTTTTCCCCCCTGTACAGTATATCCGTTTTGCCCAAAATGGGAATTGTTTGTGCTCAGTTCAAATTTTTCTCACCTTGAGTGGAAAAGTACCAGATCCAAAATGGTACATTAGGTAGCATGTCACGTCTTTGTAGAACTTGGGCTTACAGGAAAACATAACCATTCATTGACTTGATTACCCAGCTATTAAGTTTCTAAACTATCACTAATGGCTCTTATTAGACTCTTTGGACTAATATAACAGATTCTCACTTAATATTTCTAACTTCACATGCAAACAAGATACATGCACACAAATAGGATATACAGATTAAGCGGATTACAACTTTTAAAATATGTCACATGTACTTCACATACAGCATCTTTGCGTTATACATATTTATATTCATAAGCCAATTTTCTTATAGCATGAGAAGAAGGGCCATGACAATTATATTTTCCTTCTCCAAGGTGAGAGACTATAAAAACAGATTATAAAAAAGCCTTTATTTAGTAACAAAAGGTTATGTTTGTAATGTAGACAAGGAAAAAATCTTCCAAATTATTTTTCTTAACTTTAAAGCCCTTATAATTTTCTAAATTCTGCTTGATGTTTTCTTCCTGGAAAATTAGTCAAACTTGTAGTTGTGTAATTAAAAAATAAACTGTTTCCTTTTAGGAAAAACATTTCCAGTTGTAAAGTATACTATTGTTAATTAATTGTTTCTTTATCTGATAATTTAAAAATTGCTATCACTTTTAGGGTGCATCTAAACTGCACTGTTATTTTGAGATAACTAGCTTTATTTTGAAATAACAATGCAAGCATCTACGTAGCCATTCTGTTATTTTGAAATAATTTCAAAATAACGGACAGCTTATTCTGAAATTTGTAAACCTCATTCTACAAGGAATAATGCCTATTCCAAAATAGCTATTTCAAAATAATGTGTGTGTAGACACAGCCCCTCATCAGGCCATTCTAAGTTATTCCTCCCCAGTACCTCCTGGGACTCTAAATTGAGATATCATGTCTACAATAGGGAAGCCTGCCTCAGACTAATTTTGAGGCTTCCCCGCAGTGTAGATGTGCTATTTCGGAATAACTGTTCCGGAATAGCTTATTTCAAAATAAGCGTGCAGTGTAGATCTACCCTTAGTAACTGGCATATGGCAGAATTTCCCTGAAGAAATCATCTTCTGTGTTAATATTAAATATGTGCTAAAATAAGTTTTCATTATGGTTTGATTTCCTTCATTCAGATGCTGCAAATGTATAAATGGGAAACGATCTGGAAAAGAACTTCTGGAGAAACCGATGTTTGTTCTTGCTGTTTTACTATTGTGGAACTTTGGCTTGTTAATTGTGGATCGTATCCTTTCAGTTAGTTGTCAAAATCTAGCAAGACTGACACTATAAACAAATCAAATATGCGCTCGCTCTCTCTCTTTCTCTTTCTCTTTCTCTTTCTCTTTCTCTTTCTCTTTCTCTTTCTCTCTCGCCATTGCAGCCAACGGACCCATGAGGAGACACGGGCTGGGCAGAACAGCCCTTCCTCCTCCGCAGGTAAAGCTGTGAGCCAGGGCCAGGCCGTAGAGCTGTGGGCGCCAGGAAAAGCTGCAGGTCCCCCTTTCCCCTCATCACCTTATTCATTTAAAAGACAGGAGAAAGTAGAAAATGCTGATAATGCTCACTAACAGATCAGGAATCAGTCAGTCTTGACAAAATCTCCTCTAACATGGCTATAAGTACTTAGTAGTAGTTAATATAAATGAAAAAATGACCATTTCAGCAGCTGTATGAAAATCCACTGCATCTTAAAGACTATGAACTCATGATATTTTAAGCTGTAATTTTTGAACATCCATGACTTTAGATTAAAGTGATTTTTTTCACCCTTCATCATGAATATGTACTCATCAGTGAGGTTCATTTCTATGCCAAGTTTCAGACATGCCATTATCAGTTTTTCAGTTGTGTGTATAGTGAAGGAATATAGAAGGAGCATGGCAGTAATAATTTTTGCAGCAGAAAATAATGATCTGTGACAGTTTTCCCCACAGCCCCCTCCAGAAACAATTCAGACACCTGAAGATATCCACTTCATACATTTAAATCACTTCTGGCAAGAGAATAACATTAAAAACTTCAGTGAAAAGAGGGGATTTTTCATCAAGTGAAAATGATGAAGAAAAAGGCTAGCAGATTGAAACCATTTAGGACACTTGTTTATAGTGTTTTCTGTTGAGTTCTGTCGAAGCAAAAACACGCTCCTCTCTGTTTAGGCGGATAACAACTGATTTGCTTTATTGATCAGTAAAGCAAAGTGAGCCAAACGTAGTCCCAGCAAAGTCGGGCCCAGTAAAGCTGCTAATACAATCAATCCTAGTATCTTTATACCCTTAGCCAAACAGTCTGACGTCAGGGCATCCAATTACAGAAATCCTCAATTAAATTTGGAAAAACAAAGCCTTATCAACAAGATGGCGGACAGGTACAAGGGAGTACCTCTCCTCTCTGAACCAGCCCAATTAACACATTCCAATAGCACATCTGTCTTGGCCTGGCGCATGGGGTGATAGAAAGTTCACTCTGGCCTACGTGCAAAGACAAAAAGCTGAAATGGTTTCTGTTATACAAGATGGCTTCTAGCTAAACATCTATAATACACATACACATTTTGTTATATTATCTGCGTGTAACCAAGAATTTCTCATTGAGGTTAAGCTTTGCAACTTTTATGTTTGCTAAAAGAATAAGTAGCATAAAGGTAATTTTATAGCCAATTTGAGTAATAATTTAGGAATGATTCCTTGATTATAATTCCATTTAATCTGTTTCCTGATTGTGGACTTCTGAGTTTGTCAAAGCAAACTGACAGTAAAAAGTTTCTTCCTTGACACAAGTTCAGATATTCACTTTCAGTACAATGGTTTTTTATTTGGATTGATGCTTCTTTCTGTTGCTCGATTATTTCAGGTAACCATAAAATCAAGCTGAAAGTTTTTGTTGTCCTGTGACAATGCCTTTTACTTTAATGGGAGCAAGCCTGTGATTATAATAAGTAGGGGCAGTTCTAAATTACTGCCTACTAGAATTGGATTTCTTAGTATTTGTCCTGGTTTTTGGTTCAGTTGGCCATAAAATAGTTGGGCTATGGGGAAAGCATACCCCTCTGTGAGGAAATGAGCTCTATTTACTGCTGTTTTAAATACACAATTTCTTCCTAGTTGCATCAGGGAATTCAGCTGTTTTGGAGGGAGCTACCAGACCTTTGGCAGGAAAGATTACTTTGAGGAAGGGGGTTTATTTCTTAGGGTGTGCAGATATGAGTGATTCCCTGAGTTCCAAACACCACTTAATGTGAGGAAATTACCTTTTGACCTGAATCTATCTTGCTTGGGCCTGGTTGTTTACTTTAGGCAAATGGAAAAACATCCATCCCCTCATTCATACATGAAATGTTTTGATGCTTCAGGCTATGGAGTAAGGCCATCTTTGACACTGCTAGTGTTAAGATAAGGTGGGTACAAATGTATTTGTGGGTTTCTACCTGTGCAACTTTTTTTTCCATTTAGAAAAGGCATCTTGAGAGTGCACTTCTTTTTACTGTTCTCCTGCATTTCAAACACATCTACATCTATGTAGCCCCAGCTTATGGTGTATATTTGCTACGATCCTATTGTTTCACTGCAAATAAGGCAGGTGAGTTACCAATCTTTTTTTAATTTGATTTATATTAATATTGGTGGAAAGCGGGCCCAACAGGTATAGAAAGACATGTTTGCATTCCTAAGTCTGACATATTACTTTGGCATGAGAGCTGCAAACTTGACTTTTTGTTTTCATCAAATAGCCTATTTGAAACCAGTTTGGTAAAAATAGCCTAAATGTTTAAAAGGAGGTATTCTGGCACCGGCCTCAAATTAATTGTCCTAGATATTTACATTTCATTGGCAAAGTGACACTTATTTTTGTACTACCAAAATAAAGTCAGTGATCATAAAGTTCAAGTTTATGTATCAGAAAGAAGAGATGTAGATATTAAATTCAGTCTATTTCCTGCTAAGAGCTTCTTTTGGATAATAATCCATTTGAATTTTTAATTAAAAATTAATTGCTAGATAGAACTGTCTCCGTTCAAAAGACCATTTTTCACATTAAATTAATACAAATCTTGTTGTGCAAAATTATTGTAATGTGTCCATTTGAGGAAGGTACTGTCTGTAGTATGGATATTTATTTTGAGTTACGCTAGCAAATCTAGTAATAGAGATGTAGCCTTGTTAGTCTGGTCTTGCTGAAACAAAAGAGAGGACTATGCAGCACTTTAAAGATTAACAAGAAGGTTTATTTGGTGATAAGCTTTCGTGGGCCAGACCCACTTCCTCAGATCAAATTGTGGAAGAAAATTGGCATGACCATATATACCAAAGGGATACAATAAAAAAAAAGTGAACACATATAAAATTGACAAATCAGATTTTAGAACAGAGGGAGGGTGAGGGGGGGAGGTTAGTGTCTATGAGATAATGATATTAGAGGTGATAATTGGGGAAGCTATCTTTGTAATGGTTAAGATAATTAGCATCTTTGTTAAGGCCCATTCGTAAAGTGTCAAATTTAAGCATGAATGACAGTTCTGAGGCTTCCCTTTGTAGTCTTGTGTTAAAGTCTCTTTGAAGCAGGATGGCATGTAGTCAGGTCATTGAGACAATGCCCAGTCTGGTTGAAATGGCAAGAAACAGTTTTTTCTTTGTGACACTGTCTGATGTCTGTTTTGTGTGCATTGATTCTTTGGCGAAGTGTCTGAGAAGTTTGTCCAATATACATAGCAGACAGACACTGTTGGCACATGATGGCATAAATTATATTTCTGGATGAACAGGAATATGTGTTCTTGATCTTGTAACTGACATAGTTAGGTCCAATGACGGTGTCATCAGAGTAAATATGTGGACAAAGCTGGCAACGGGGTTTGTTGCAAGAGAAAGTTCCAGGGTTGGTATTAGTGTGATATATCCTGTGATTGTTGGTAAGAATCACCCTGAGGTTAGGTGATTGTCTGTAGGAGACTATGGGTCTGACCCCAAGAGCCTCTCAGTGTAGTATCCTGTTCCAGTATAGGTTGTAGTTTATTGATAATGCTTTGGATGGGTTTAAGTTGGGAGCTATAGGTGATGACAAGTGATGTTCTATTGTTGGTTTTCTTGGGTCTGTCTTTAAGTAGATGGGTATCTCATTGACACTAACCTCCCCTCTGTTCTAAAATCTGATGAGTCAATTTTATGTGTTCACTTTTTTTTATTGTATCTCTTTGGTATATATGATCATGCCAATTTTCTTCCATAACTTAATCTGAGGAAGTGGGTCTGGCCCACGAAAGCTCATCACCTAATAATCATCTTATTAGTCTTTAAAGTGCTGCATAGTCCTGTCTTTTGTTTCAACTTGAAAATCTGCGTGCTGTCTCCTTCTATCCAGACTAAAATTAAGTCTGTCTCTCTGACGTCTCCTTCAGTGTTCCCTGTAAGATGAGCACTTGGATGGTCCACCCAGGAAAGGTTCAAATGCTGCCTACTTGATTAGCAGAGTGCCCATAGTGCTCACGGCCAGCAGCATGAGTTTCTACTGGTGGTGCCCACACAGTACACACAACAATATTTATTCTGCACATGGATGGAAAATGTTAGAGGGAACATTGATCTCCTTGTGGATGTCTAGCTGTCAGCTCAAGCTCAACATAATGAAAATAGAGCTCTTGATTTTTTCCCCTCTATTTACCTCCTTTCTCAGTCATTGTGGATAACACTACCATTCTACTTGTAACTCAGGCCTATAACTGTGTGTCATACTTGACTCCTCTCTGGTCCTCATATCCAGGCTATGTCTAAGTCTTGCAGATTATTTCTGCATGACAGATCTAAGATTTGGCCTTTCCTGTCCATCCAAACTTCTAAAACTCTCAATCAGGTTCTCACCATCTTGTTGAATATCCTTCTCTCTGGTCTTGACAAATGCAGTCTTGCCTTGCTTATAGCCATTCAGAAGGCCGGTGCAAAGAACATGTTCCTAGTCTGTTGCTTTGGCCATGTCACCTCTCTTTTTTTAGACTGCTCCTCTTTCATCTCTTCATATCAAGGTCCTTCATGATATAGCCCCAGTCTATCTTCTTTCCCTCATTTATTGAAAATCTGACTCATACCTCACGATGGCCAGTGATGCCATCATATGAACATAAGAAAAGCCATACTTGGTCAGAACTAAGGCCCATCTAGCCCAGTATCCTGTCTGCCAACAGTGCCCATACCAGATGCCCCAGAGGATGGGAACACAACAGGTAATTCTCGCATGATCCCTCTCTTGTCATCCATTTCCAGACAAACAGAGGCTAAGGACACCATTCCTACCCCTCCTGGCTAACAGCCGTTGATGGACCTAACCTCCATGAATCTAGCTAGCCCTATTTTGAACCCTGTTAAAGTCCTAGCCTTTACCGCATCCTCTGGCAAAGAGTTGCACAGGTTAACTATGCACTGAGTGAAGAAAAACTTCCATTTGTTTTAAACCTGCTGCCTATTAATTTCATTTAGTGACCCCTAGTTCTTATCATCTGCTTGTTAAATTTTCAAAAAAAAACCTTCGTGCTTTTTCCTGTGGCTGTGGAAAGCTCCCTGTAAATATCTGCAAAGCTATCTCATTATCCACCTTCAAAACTTCCCTTAAAACTCTATTTTGCTCTGAAGCCTACAAAAGACTTGACATTGGTTAGACTGCTGGTGTGCTCGGACCACTGACTGTCACTCTGACAAAAATATCATTGTTTCCTTTTACTCTCTTATCTATATCCATCTGGTTTTGTCTTATATTTAGTTTATAAGTTGTTTGGGGGCATGGATTGTCTTTTTGTTCTGTGTCTGTACAGCACCTGGTTCAGTGGGGTCATGGTCCAATACTGAGACTCCTAGCTGTTATACAAATAATAAATCAGCAAATTAAAATAGAGTTTTTAGCAAATAAGAAATGGGTTTAACTTTGAGATTTGTAAACCTGGTTGTTGGACAAAGCACTACTTACTCATTGAAAATATTCACTTAATATCATGCTTGCTTATTTACTACTAAAGTCAGTTTGCTTCCCATTTCTCTTCTACCTCATCACATATCTCTATTAATAGTGGTATTAATTTTCTGTAGATGGATCCCTCAAATGGAGCAGCTTCAGCTTTCTTCGCATAACTTTGCTGGGATTGATTGTCTGCCTTGTTTCTGCTCTTTCATTGGGACCCTTTGCTGTTTTGGTAATGACTCATTATTCCCTATCCTTATAACCTTTCTTTTAGGACTAGTCTACACTACAGTGCTACATTGGTGCAGCTGCAAAGTGTTAGATGAAGACAAACTATGCCAATGAGAGACCACACAATTATTCCTCCATCAGAGAGAGGTGGTAGCTATGTCTATGGGAGAGTATCTCCTGCCAAGTCAGTTCTAGTTTGGACAGCATTTAGGTTAATTGTAACTTGCATCATTTGGAGGGGGAGCAGCTTTTTCACACCGCTAAGCAACATAAGTTACATCAACTTAAGCAGTAGTGTAGACAAACTTTAGAAACATAGTTGAACAATTTAACAAATTATGAAAAGTCTCTAAACAAGAGTCTTCTTATATACTTTTTGTTCCCTACAGGGCCAACTGCCTCAAGTCATTTCACGGCTATTCCCTTTCAAGAGAGGCCTCTGCCATGCTTACTGGGCCCCTAACTTTTGGGCTTTGTACAATGCTGTGGACAAAACATTAGCAGTTATAGGTACAGTAAACTTACTAGTATTTTCAGTGCTTACTTGCATATAATGCTCCCTGTGGGTTCATATTTTCTTTCTGTAATTCTTATAATGGATTGCATTTTGTTGCTTGTTTTTAAGATTCATTTAATCCTTTGCTTTTCAGCTCTGTATTGCATAGCAGTAGACTTCCAACTAGAGTGGAAGATACTTTGAGTATTCAAAATTGTGTGAAATCTTTGCCATATGCCTGTGTTCACATAGCTGTTGCTGTTTATATTGATTTATATATTTTATATATTAATGATACTTTTCATAAAAATTGTGTGTGTGTGTGAGAGAGAGAGAGAGAGAGTGTACCTAGTGCAATATAGCAGGTTTCTGGGGACACTGCTAAGCATTTCAGATAAGAGCAAGTTGCTTTGAGATGGGGCTACATACATCCCAAGATTGGGGTCCTGCATTATAAGGCACACACTTCTGTTGACGATATAGGCTAGCAAGAAGTCATACAAGTAATCCCATTACACTCCAGCTTCCTATGTCACCGCCAGTGCCACTCCTTATACCAATGAGAGGTTCTGAAAATCACTCTCATCAAATCCGAAAAGGTTCTCCCAATCCCAAAGGACAAACTGCATTCCCAGATCAATTTATACCTCAGATCTTACACAAAAGAGAATGCCGTGTACATCTGAAATGTAAAGTTTTATTAATCAAAGAAAAGGTTGAAAGTAAAATTGTTAAAGGATTTCAATTACATATGCCAATGCAAAGTTCTTGGTGCAGGCTCGAGATAGATTAATCTGTCTTAAATCTCTGGAATATATCCTCTGTTAGGATTGGTCATTAGTCCTTTTGGGATCAATTCATAGCAAATACGATTCAGAAGTGATGAGTTGGAATGAAGACAAAAATAGGGATCATACTGGGATCCAATAATGTCACATCTATGTTATTAAACAAACATTATGTTCACTTGCAGGTCTCAAATACAAATTCCTTGATCCTGAAAAGATTCCTAAAGCCTCCATGACAGGTGGATTGGTTCAAGAATTCCAGCACACTGTCCTTCCTTCTGTGACTCCACTTGCAACACTAATTTGTACCTTCGTCTCTATCTTGGTAACTTCAAAAAAAGATAATCTTTTGATATATTTTTAATTTCTGTGTCCCCTTTTTCCTTGACTAAGAAACATAAAAGTACTTGATGCATACTAGAGATGTAATAGTGTAGTCCAGTGTTTCCCAAATGGTGTTCCGGTGAACCCCAGGGTTCCGCAAAGTGAAAATAAGGGTTCAGCGAGAAAATTCCATTACAATAACATGTTATTATTAACAAAATAATAATTAATATTAAGCATTTATGAATTTTATTGAAAACAATTTTCATTTGTGTTGATCTCATGACCTTGTTTAACATTGCTTTATTATTATCCTTACTTATTTGTGGTCTACTTCTTCAGCTCCACATATAAGACTGCTATTAGGGGTTCCACAAAATTCTTTTGAGTTTAAAAGGGTTCCGTGGCCAAATAAAATTGGGAAACACTGGTGTAGTCAATTAACTGATAAGCAAATACTTATTGGTTAATGCTGTAGACTACACGCATTTCCTACCTCGCCACTAAATTTTTTAGCAGGCTGGCCAGCAGCCTGTCTCAGACCTGGCTTGCGACGGGTCTGGGACCTACCGCCACTGCGGCTCTCCATTTAAAGTGTTATTAGGAGGTAGGCAGGCAGCCTGGCTCTGTTCTGGCTCTCACTGGGTCCAAAAGCTTAGATCCTGCCCCCCCTACAGACAGAGGCTGCTGCCACCCCTGCATCATGCAGCAGCACAGGGTGACAGGCAGCTGGTCCGTGAGGGGAGCTTGTTTTTATCTGGCTTCCCTCACGAACCAACTCCCACCTGGCACCCTGCACTGCTGCCTCTGATACAGAGGCAGAAGCGCAGAGTGGCAGGGGACTCCTCGGGAGAGAGGCCAGATTGCACTGGCTGCCAGCTCCACCCTTGGGGACTATAGAATAGTCAAGTAACCAATAAGAATTCATGAAGTTACTCAACTATTCAGTTAACCGATATTTAGCATTCCTACTACATACCCTATCTCAAAAACAAAAATGTGTATTTTTATATTGGGAAAGAGCAATTAGAGTGGCTGCAGAGGCAGTTGTAATTTTGATTATCAAAGCTAAAGGCATTTTCTGAGTATTCCTATAAATCATTATTTATGTCAACTATTGAGTATTCCAGAGACAGACAGATATAGCAGAGACTCTTGGACCAAACAATTTTGCTTACTATGCTCAAAGTAATTCTGTATATAATGACTTGCTTAAAATTCAAGGAGTGTTTCAAGACTGGACTGAGATGCATTGCCAGAGCTCTTTGGAAAACTTGCTGAGCTCCTAAAAGCATTATCTATAACCAGGAATAATGCAGGTGGACCCTCACTTTTCAATGCCCCACTTTTTTATGGAGTGAGGAGCGGAAGGCTCATTCTAAGCTGTCAGTTGAGACATTGGTGTCTAAAGGATACTGAACAGCCATTAGATATTAACATATGTGAAGTGGGTTAATAGTTCCAGTTAAATTCTATGGGGCAGTTCCCCACATATTGCCAAACCAATGGTGCTTGTCTGAGTGAAGCTCACACTTCTGCTGCCCATGTTGTTCCCGTCATATATATGAAAAACTTCAATATCCAGTGTTGTCTATTTGACATCTTCCGTCAGCACTACATTTACACTCCAGAAATACATGCCTGCCTGGAATGCTGCAATGTGATGCGTGTAATAGAAGCAGGAACTGGGTGCTCATTTATGTATATCAGTAATAACACCATAAAGCTTCATATGGGCCATAGTTTATATAAAGGATTGTGTCTTTTTACACTGAAGTCTTATTTTTGCCTATTGTTTCTAGCCCTCTATTTTCTGTCTTTGGTTTAAACCCCAAGGGCCCAGAGGCTTTCTTCAATGCCTGATACTTTGTGCACTGAGCTCATTCATGTTTGGCTGGCATGTGCATGAAAAGGCAATACTCCTCGCTATTCTTCCCTTGAGGTAAGTGACCTATCAAGTGGGAGTTCTTCCAACTCATCTGGTTGCAGGCTACTATTAAGAACTACTTTCTGTAGCTACTGTGCAGCTTCGCTCTGGCTGATTGCTTCCTGCAGTTTCTTACCCTAATCACACATGATTTGGGAGAGAGACTCAATTTGTGTCCCGTGGGGGGAACATCTCCTACATAGTTTTGGGTCTAGGTGTTGCTGAGTGTAAGAAGTAGCCCCTCTTAGTTTGCCTTTTACTTACTCTACTGCTAGTACAGCAGTAATTGCTTAAACTACTCATGCAGCTCCTCAGCCTGTTAACGGTGACTTGTGTGCTTTGGTAAAAGTAGGCCTGGTTTCTAAGGGGCAAAAAGTAAATCAGAGTTCTTGTATTTTAGTTTGTTGTCTGTGGAGAGCCCAAAATATGCTGGAATTTATCTGATTCTGACAACTACAGGGCATTTTTCACTCTTCCCATTGCTGTTTACTCCTCCAGGTAAAGTCCCATGTTTCTTTTCTTTTTCTCTACTTCCCCTGCTTTTATTTAATTTTATTTCAATTTTGTCAGTGTTAGCTCTGTTGCCAGAAACTATCTATCCACATAGTGTTGAGCATTATACTGTGTGAAATGTGGGGTTTGGGCTGTGCACACAAGAGCAGAGTGGATGATTTAAATTGATAATTTTTAATCAGGATTTTAATTAGCAAATAAGAATAATAATTTAAATAATCAGCTTGTACTTTTTAGATATTTTCCTAAAGAAAGGTTGGTTTTCATTCATTGATAACCATTAATAATGTTGATTTGCAACAACTAATATAGCCTTTACAATAAATTTGGTGCATTTTGTTAACTAGATGGATATCTATACACATTTATTTAAGCAATTATATAGCTTAGCTTACATTTATTCAGATTCTTATTTTTTCATTTTTTTATTATGTTAGAAAATGGTGAATGTTGCATTTAGTTACTATTTCAGAGGTGTCAAACTCATGACCTGTGGGCCATCTATGAGCAGTTTTACAATCCAGCCTGGAAGTCCCTCTGGTCCTGGGAGTGTGACTGTACCCTACCCTTCTTTCCCCACCCCCATTGCACCCCTTCCCATAAGCCAATGAGGGATGTGGTAATCCCTGAGGCTGTTCCTCAAGGGAGAGGATTTGGAGGAAGGGGGCACAATGTAGAGGAGGGAAGAGATGGAGTTTGGAGGATGGCGATGGACAAGTTGCAGAGACTCCTGAGCTGGATTGTGAAACTGCTTGGGCTGTCTATGCCCTATGGGCCAGGAGTTTGAGATCCTGATCTGTTTGATGGTTTGGAGCATTTTAATTGAATTTCTATCCTCTTAAATGTACTGACTACATAAGAAATAAAACTGTCAAAAAGTTTATCAAAATATGTTTTATATATAAAACCAGCTGATTCATTATGCAAAGCCGTATTACCTGTTTCTGGTCACCATGTCCTTCAAGATTTTCAAATTAATAGACTTCATCTTCTCACCCCAGTTTTTATTCATAGTTTGGAAGAGGAAAACAAGCTTTCCTGTTTTTTTTTTCAACTCCTGGTTGGTTTCTTAACCATGAATGAACGAGTAATTAACTGAAATAGTTGAAGAAAGTAGAATGAAAATATTCTCTCTGCAACTGCAGACAGGGCTACTGCTATCAAAAGTTGATGTAGCACTTCTGGTTCAGGTGCTTAGCCAGTACCTTCCACTAATTCACTGTTTTGGCTGTTCTTAAAGCCTTAGCAGCAAACATATTGCTTAAAATTTTTTAATTTCATTTAATTAATTGTAATAAATTATAAGTTTAGGTCTCAAGACAAGTTGTTGTTTTCACACTTCATTTGAAATGGGTATATTTTTTCAAGACTAAACATGTATTTAATTTAAAAAGACAATTTAACTCATATCTGAATGTAAATACGATCTGACTTCTTATCTTTTTTAAATATCATGGATTTCATCTACCCTGAATAGGTGCAGTCTTTCCTCAAATCTAAAATTGCCAAGCCCTACAAGTAGTGGAAAATTACTTCAATAGGCAAAATTTTCAATGATCAGTATACTATAGTATTTGAATAAAGGGGAGGATATGGAAAATTCTCCTAGACTCATGTATCCTGCCTTTACTATCCCTCCTTCAGCCACATTTCAGAAGTTCTGCATCTTCAAGTTTCCACATAATGTTCAGCATCCTTTTAATTGGGGTGCCTGAATTTGGACTTCCTTTGATATATGGTTATGCTACTCTTTCTAAAATGGAGTTTGCTGTGTTGAGATATAAGAAGCTTCCTTTGCCTTCTTACTTCTATCTGGTATTATAGTAAAACTCCATTGGTCCAGCATCCAATGCTCCGGCACTCCTGATGGTCCAGCACCATCAGGAACCCGGAAGTGCTCCGGCTGCCAGACAATTGGAGCTGCTCTGCGCCCAGCTTCCCCGATTCGGCCGCTGCTGAAACTGACGAGCAGCTGAATTGGGAAAGACGGGGGCAGAGCAGCTGGGGTGCTGCTGGGCTGGTCTGGTAGCGCTGCCCCTCCACGCTGCGGGACCAACCTGGCAGCACCCCAGCTGCTCTGTCTCAGGTGTCCCCAAGAGCAGCTGGGGGGTTGCTGGGTTGGTCCCTCAACACCGAGGGGCAGCGCTACCAGACCAGCCCAGCAGCACCCCAGCTGCTCTGTCTCAGGTGTCCCCAAGAGCAGCTGGGGGGTTGCTGGGTTGGTCCCTCAACACCGAGGGGCAGCGCTACCAGACCAGCCCAGCAGCACCCCAGCTGCTCTGTCTCAGGTGTCCCCAAGAGCAGCTGGGGGGTTGCTGGGTTGGTCCCTCAACACCGAGGGGCAGCGCTACCAGACCAGCCCAGCAGCACCCCAGCTGCTCTGTCTCAGGTGTCCCCAAGAGCAGCTGGGGTGTTGCTGGGTTGGTCCCTCAACACCGAGGGGCAGCGCTACCAGACCAACCCGGCACCACCCAAGCTGCTCTGCCCCAGGCGTCTCTGATTCAGCCACTGCTGAAACTGACCAGCAGGGGCTGAATCGGGGACTCCTGGGACAGAGCTGGACTATTGGAAGCGGGGGTTCTGAGGGGTCTGGGCTGGCATCCACCCCACCCCAGACTCCTCATAGCTCCTCCTTCCGATAGTCCAGCATATCTGATAATCCGGCACCCGCTGGGTCCTAAAAGTGCCGGATTATTGGAAGTTTACTGTACATTGCTTTTTACATAGCTGATTATCTAGGGAGGGGGAGAGTAATTGGGCCCTATTAGTTTTATCATTTTTTGTTTTGGTTTTTACTTCTTGTAAAGTTTATTTTCCAATAGATTTGTTTTCCTTTAGTCAAACAAGACAGGATCTAAGTATTAGTCTACTACGTTATATAGTGCTAATATCTAATGCACTAATCATTTAAACTAATGATTCAACATAAGGGATTTTGTAGATGTTACAAAGGGGAAGGGCCTATTTTGTCTCGCTGCAATGCAGGTTTATTCCTTAACAAATATTACATTGGCTATTCCAAGAAATGGGACATTTGCTGTACTGTTGTAGAGAGAATAATTGTAATTACTTTTAAAAAACTTTGCAAATTTTAGTATTATGTTTAAATTATTGTATCCATAATTTAAATATGCTGTAAATTATAAAATAGTAAGCAAAACATTACATGCTTGAATTTTAAAAATGTTCCTTATATTTCAGAAATCCCTATTAAAATACTGCTCATGCTGCTGTTTACAGTTTATAGCTTCTCTTCACTGAGGGCTTTGTTCAGGTAATAACTAAGCACATATTTTATGTTTAGATTATTGAAACCCTCTGGAAGGGGGGGAACTATACTACAGTGGTGGGGCTGCATGATTTTGTGGGTTGGAACTGAAATACCAATAGTTCAAGTCCATATCAGTAATGGACAAAATGTGAGGTGTCAGTCCAATTCCCAGTAGGCAGGTGTCTACATCAAAAACATATTTGACAATCCTGTTTTAAGAGAAGACATGGTCTGAAGGAGTACAGAGAGAAAACTATCCGCTAGACCCTGGAAACAATCCACATCGGAGTCTCTGTATTATCAGGGTACAAAATTGTAATGCCCCTTCTAAGATATAGCTGTTATATAGATAGAGGACTTAAGTCTCCAAAGCTGTCAATATGGCAGCTTTCACAATCACTGAATTAATGTAAGTTTTCATATACATGTCTATGTTAGAGGAGGCATAATAGATGTGGTACTGTATTAACAATACAGTGTAACTAGAGCCCTGCATGGATACAAAATGTGTATCTGCATCCACACTTGCAAAAATGATCTGTGGATATCCACATCCACTGATATAAAGCAGATATCTGCAAATTTGCAGGGTTCTAAACCTATTATTTGTATCCGCATCTTTATCTGCAAAAATTAGCCACGGATATGTGGATTTGCAGGGCTCTTAGTAACTTGTCAAAGTCCTGATTAGGGATGTTAAATATCAGTTAATTGAATAGTTGATTAACCTCATGAATTCTTATCAGTTAGTCGACTATTCTGTCGTCTCCGGGGGTGGTGGCGGAAGCCAGTGTGCTCTGGCTTCACTCCTGAGGAGCCCCCTGCCACTTCACGCTGCTGCCTCTGTATCAGAGGTGATCTTTTTCAACAGCAGAGCTGCATCTTGACTCTTTCTGAGTTGCAGTTGTCTGAAGGTTCATATGATCTCCAAGACAGTACTGACTGAATAATCTGCTTCTGCAAAACTCTCCAACTTTCAGGGCTGAAGCTCTATGCCTGTGCATGTTAGGGTCTCTGCTAGAGCTTAATTTCTACCCTGCAGAATTAAAGAGCTTTGTGGGGCTGATGCTCATGATAATCTGAAATCTTGATTTGTTCAAGAAGTAGTGTATCCCCTGAGACTTCCCTAAACCAAAGGTTTACCTGTAGTAAGAAACCTCCTTAAATAGAACATTAACAATGGAAATATCTGTCCTTTGTGTAGAAATTATGAACCATCTTTAAGCTAAAAACAACAAAAAGTCCTGTGGCACGTGAGAGACTAACAAAAATAAGCTCTTTCAGTTATGCTGATCCAACAATATCTAGAAATATGCAGCCAGAAATAATGATCTGACATGTCCTGTATTTGAATGTGGAAGAACTTGGCATGCAGTGAATGTGCATCCCTAGCTGTGGAAGGTCTAATGGCTCATTAATGTTGGCATGATGGGTGTGGGGCAAGATGAAGTGAAATAATTATTTATGCAATTTCTGGTTTAATTCAAAACTGCTAAACCATGGACTCTTGTATTTAAGTTGTATAATCCAAATTATGAAGAAATGAATGTTTATGTTGTGCTAGTTACATGCTATCAAGCACTGTAGTTTAACACGTGGGTATACTACAAGTTGCAACTGCCTGGCTCATGTGCTGTTTAAAACCGTGTGATCTGATGAATAGGAGATAAGCAAGACAAAATCTTAGCAAGGGCAATGTGCCTAAAGTTCATGAAAAAAGAGAAAACTCTGAATTGAAATCAAATGTTTAATATATATTTTTTCTTCCACAGAAAAGAAGGGCCTCTACTTAACTGGCTGGAAACTATCTACCTCGTTCAACTAGTGCCTCTGGAATTTTTTTGTGAAATTGTGTTTCCTTTGACCCCCTGGAATCTGAAGTTCCCTTTTATCCCTTTGATGCTTATTTCTGTATACTGTGCTCTAGGCATCACATATACTTGGCTCAAACTGTCCATCTCTGTCTGGACTGAATCAACAGCTGTCAGACAGAAGGCAGATTAAAGCAATATCGTTGAGACCAACTTCAGGTAAATCCTTCAGGAGGATTATCCAGCATCAGGGGGAGTTGTCTTCTAAGATCATGAACAATTTGAAGAGGCAGTACAAGTTGGACCTCCCTGGTCTGGCACCCAAAGGAGGGAATTTGTTGGACCGGGGAGGTCTCCTGCCACAATCCCTCTGCCCCTCCCTGCCACTGACTATTTCCTTCCCAACGGGCTGCCTGCTGACAGGCTCCAGCCCTGGTCCTGCTCCAACTCTGGCTGGACTGTCCCACTCTGGCCCCGCTGCTGACTGGGTTGCTGCAGCCTTAGCCCTGCTTGCAGGCAGCTCCGGCCCCACTGCTGCAGCCCTGTTACTGTGGTCCCTGCTCTGATGCTGGGTTGCTGCAGCCCCAGCCAGGCTGTCCCTGCTGGGTTGCTGTGGCCCCAGACCCATGTTGCCCAAGCAACCTGCAGCTCATCCCCCACCCCACTGCTGGGTGACACACAGCCCCTGGCGGGCTTCCCCGGTCCCATTGCTGAATGGGCTGCTGTGGCCTCAGGCAGGCTGCCGCTGCTCTGGCCCCACAACCACCAACGCTCTTGGCTCCCAGCCCTGCAAGGCTCCCAGCTGCTGGCCTTTCTGCCTTGGAGCTCTCTTGTCCAAGAACATCTGTGATCCTTCCGGACTACTGATGCTGCTGGACCAGAGAGTCCTGGTTAAGGGAGGTGCAACCTGTAGTACTGATTGAGATGTCTATTCATCAGCCTGTGCTGCTGACCAAAATAGCTATTTGAAATGTTGCACCGCACATAGTGAGAGACCACTTGCCCTGAATTAATGGTAAAATGTAATTGAAATGAACATTAAAATTGGCCATTTAAAATGTCCAGATTACTGTTCTGAAAGGAATGTGCATAGTTTCCTTGTTAATTGAGGGATTTTGCCAGAAACCGATATGGCTACTTGTAATAAGGGATCACTGCTTTGTAAAAGAAAACATAATTGTAATCATGTACTGAGGAAGAGGTAAATAAAATACATTTTTATATTTCTGTATTAAAACCTCTCTCTGGACATCTTTCTAGCTAAAGGGTCTCTCTGCAAATGTGTAAAACTAGTACAGTTTGGAATTTGTTTGGTCAGCTTTTTAGCCAGACTCATTTGTGAAAACACGGTGCTGAAATTTTATATGAAGATCACATATTTCTAAGACACTATGATCTGCCTTGTCTATTTCCGCTACACTGGTTTTCTCCCGTTTATTCTCATGTCTCCCAGGTAACTTCCAGCATTCTGCCTACCATTAACCGTTTTAGAGAATCAGAATGCTAGAACTGGAAGGGACCTTGAGAGATCAAGTCCAGTCCCCTTCACTCACAGCAGGACCAAGCACCATCTAGATCAGTGGTCTCCAATCTTTTCAAGCACAAGATCACTTTGAATTTAAGTGCAATCCAGGATCTACCTCAAACCCAAATACCCTTGCCCCACCTCCTTTGTGACCCTTCTCTGAGGCGCTACCCCTGCTCACTCTGTCCTCCCTCTGTCTCTCATTCTCCCTCCCTTTCACCAGGCAGGGGCAGAGGCTCTGGTCTTGGGCTAATGGATTTGGAGTGTGAGAGGGGCTCTGATCTGAGCCTGGGGCAGGGAGTAGGAGGGGATTCAGGGTACAGGCTCTGTGAGGGTGTTTTGAATCTAAAGGACTCAGGACTAGGACAGGGGCTTGAGGTGCAGGAGGGGTTCATGACTGGGGAGGGGTTTGGGATTCTGGCTCCAGCTGGACACTGCTTACTTCAGGTGGCTCCTAGATGGTAGTGCAGTGGGTCTAAGGCAAGCTCACCCCTGCCTTGGCCTTGCACCACTCTCAAAAGCAGCCAGCAAACTCTCTCCATCCCAAGCCTTGTGCCCCCCTCCATTCTGTGAAGAAAGAATACAGAGTGGGAAGGGGGTGCCCTGAGATCAGTGCTCCCTCCTCTCACTTCCCTGCTCTGCACACCAAGAAAGAGGCTTCTGGTGGGGAGAGGGGGGGTGAAGCAGCTCCAAAGCAAAAGGGAAGAGATGCAAAGCAGTGTGGGGAGGGGCAGCTGAAGTGCTGTGCTTGACAGAGTCTTGGCCAAACCAGTCAGGATCACCTGTCAGAGGCTCCAAGATCTACTAATAAAGCCCAATCTACTGGTTGGTGACCACTGATCTAGATCCGTGGTCCCCAACACGGCGCCCGCGGGGGCCTTTGGCGGCGCCCGCCAAGTGCTCAGGGCTGGCCTGGCCCCGGGCGCGCGGCGCTTGGGGGAGGGGGGGAGAGAGCGCTAGCGCCGGCCCCGGGCGCGCAGCGCTTGGGGGAGGGGAGGGAGAGAGCACCGGCCCCATGTTGCGCGGTGCTTGAGGGGAGAGCGCCGCCCCCGGAATGCGGCTATGGGGGGGCCCCACCCCCCTGGGTGCCCGGTGGGCGAACGGACACGCCCCCTGGCGCCCGGCAACCCCAAATGGTTGGGGACCACTGACTTAAGTTATGTCTACACAGCAAAGATATTTGAAATAACAGTAGTTATTTCAAAATAACTTTACTAGAGTCTATACAGCCAAACCGCTATTTCAAAATTAAGTTGAAATAGCGGAGCACTTATTTTGAATTTGGTAAACCTCATTCCATGAGGAATAATGCCAAATTCGAAATAGCTATTTCGAAATAAGTGCTGTGTAGACACTTATTTCAAAATAAGGGGCATCCAGCCTTCCCAGGGTGCCCTGTTGGCCACTCCAGCCTACTCCACTGATGGAGATTTCATAACCTTCCTAGGCAATTTATTCTACTGTTTAACCACCCTGACAGGGAGATTTTCCTGTCATCCAGCCTAAACATCCCTTGATGCAATTTAAGCCCATTGCCTCTTGTTAGAGAAGAAACAGGTGACCCAGAAGCAGATGGGGGTAAAAGGAACTGCTTTATTGCCCATGCACATTTACCTCAGACATTCAACAAAACATCCGAGTGGCAACAAACCTGGTGCCAATCACATCCTTTTATCTATTTTAGTATGTTAATTCACACATCTATTACTACTTTTCCTAAAAACTTATTTAGTAATGTTAACTCGTACACAATGAATATTAATAAGTAGATGATTAGTACAATTATACCCGCCCGTTTGTTATTTACTGGTTTTTAGTTGAATCAGCATTACATACTGTCTTAATCAGCAGCTTATAGGGAGGGGAAAGTGCTTGGACTCTGAAAATGTTTTTACAGACAAGTGCAAAGACAAAACAAGACACTGTTCAGTGCAACCATCTTTCAAGGCTTCCAGGACAAAGGGGAAAAACATGTTGAAAGGGCAATGGTAATGCCTAGTCTGGCTAGACCCTTACCCACTGATGTATAGTCATCCCAGACCCCTATTCATTTTACATATCCCAACACTATGATAATAGGCCAAGGAGAACATTTTTTTCTCCCTCCTCCTTGTAACACCCTTTTAGATACTTAAAAATTGCTATCATGTTCCCTCTCATTTTACTTTTCTAAACTAAACAAGCCGAATTCTTTCTGTCTTCCCTCATAGGTCATTTTTTCTAGACTGTTAATAATTTTTGTTGCTCTTCTCTGGACCTTCTCCAATTTCTCCACATCTTTCTTGAAATGTGGTGACCAGAACTGGACACAATACTCAAAGGCTACAGCTACATTGTCAAGATTTTGCGCAAAAGCGGCTGCTTTTGCACAAAAACTTGCCGCCTGTCTACACTGACTGCGAGTTCTTGCGCAAGAACACTGACATTCTAATGTAAGAAATCAGTGCTTCTTTCGCAAGAACTATGACGCTCCCTCTCAGGAATAAGCTCTCTTGCGCAAGTGTTCTTGCGCAAGAGGCCAGTGTAAACAGGCAACATGAATTTCTTGTACAAGAAAGCCCGATGGCTAAAATGGCCATCGGAGCTTTCTTGCACAAGAGAGCATCTACACTGGCACGGATGCTTTTGCACAAAAGCACATGCCAGTGTAGACGCTCTCTTGTGCAAATACTTTAATGCAAAAACTCTCACGTTAAAAGTATTTGCGCAAAATCTTGCCAATGTAGACGTAGCCCGACTGAGGCCTAGTCAATATTGAGTAGAGCAGAAGAATGACTTCTTGTATCTTATTCAGAACACTTCTGTTAATGAATGATAGGGACCAAATGGTAGCCAATTCTTCAAGTAGAGTTGTCAAAATGCCAATTAAAGCATGAGTACATGCTGTTGGGAATATTAGGTTTTTTTATTGTTGCATGATTTCACATTACTTTTATAAAAGAAAAAATTTAAAATGGGATTAGGGATATCCACACAATGTGAATGTCTCCAGTATACCACCCTAATGAAAAGGTCTATATGATGTCTGATTCTGTAATTGTAGCTACCAAGTTCATCTAACCTGATGTGAAGATACTAGTATGTAAACTAGTTACACAGGTGATGGACTGTGCCAAATTCTTTTTTTTTTTTAATGCTTGTTCTCACTAACTGAAAGGAGATGATTCCTTCCATAAAATACCCTAATCTTAGTACCAGAATCTCCCCTGCACCAAACATTGTAAACCTCACATCCACAATTTTGAGACTTGCAAGCAGACTTCTAGTTCTTCAATTAGGCAAAAAATGGATCCTGGCACTTAGAATTGAATGTTGAAACCTAAGTTTGTAGCAGTAAGTAAAGATTTTATTCTGTTTTTCAGCACAGTTACATCAATGCTTAAGGTTTGAAAACTAGAAAACAATGATATTGCAAACAACATTGACTGTAGCCCTTTTTCTTAAAACAACAAATAGTTTATAGGGATGGAGAAAAAAAAACACTTGATGGAATCCCCATTTTAAAAACGTTACTAAACAATTACATGAAATTTTAACAATTCCTTTTTAAGAAAGTCAAAATAACCTTAAAAATAACTATTTTTGAAAAATACACTAATTTAAATAAACTAGCCAATGGGAGATGCTGATAAGTACAGTATGTCTGAAATCCCAAAACAGCTTCCTTCCTCCAGTCTGCAGGGAAGTATCTATTGCTGTCAGCAACTCACAAGCATCTATGAATTTCTTCTGCACTCAGGTAGTTTAAGTATGTAAGTCATTTCTTGTGATAATGAGTTAAGCATGGGTTGCATCATAGGATTGCCAATCATCCAGGATTGGTCTGGAGTCTCCAGAAATTAAAGAGTAATGTTTAATTATATACTGTTATGTGATGACATTTCCAGGAATACAGAAGAGCCTACAGAAGAGAAGAGTGAGAGGAATCTGATAGCAGCTTTAAACTATCCGAAGGGAAGTTCCAAAGAGGATGGAAAGAGGCTGTTCTCCAGAAAGTTGACAGAAAGAGGAGCAATGGTCTCAAATTGCAGTGGGGAGGTCTAGGTTGAATATTTCAGCCCACATCCTAGCTGTAGCCCTTCCCTCTCCCACACTGCAGCCCCCATTGAAGATGAGTGATGGGGGGGAATGGGGTTAGTGGGGGTACCTCGGATAAGGGGTGGAGCATGGGCGGAGCCTCGCAGGAGGGGCGGAGTAGGGGAAGGGTGTTGGGTTTTGTGGGAATAGGAAGTTGGCAATCCTAGGAGGAGGTGTGTGTGTTTCTGGTCTGAGCTCAGACCAGAGGTTTGAGGAGTCATGTAGCAAATCTTGGGGGGCTAGGAACCACCCTTGCCCGCAATGGGGCCCCAACACCGGCCCTATTTCCTCCCACTATACGCTCTCCCTGCGCAGGGAGAGCGGGGGGGACAGAAAAAGCAT